GAAAGTACGATACATAAGCCATTTCATATATTTCTTTGTAGTTTATAAATTAAATAGAATTAAATACAAAGTGGTAGTTTCGACATCATATATCTACCCAGATAGCACATAATATTCTGAAAATATTCTAAGAATATTCTAAAAAGATCAAGTCTGATATACCTAAGATATGTGCCACATATATTATGACATACACAGAATATACTCAGGATATTCCTATGTCCGCAGGAACATTGTTCTCACTATATCCTCAGAATATCGTTAATGATATTCTTAGAATATTTTTAAAATATCATGTGCTTTCTATGTTGTCTTTTGAATATTCTAAGAATATGTTAACAATGTCCCAAATATATTCTCAGTATATTAAGAGATATTCTGAGGATAAACAGAATATCTTGTAATATTCTGAGGATATACTGAGATCAACGTTGCTCACATAAGAATAATCTAAATATATTCTATGTATATCGGGCATGATATTTTAAGAATATTCTCAGAATATATTTGACATTTCTTAAGCATCCTGAAAACATTTAAAAATGTGAATAATTATTGTACAAAGTTCATTATATAATTTTTATAATATTTTATTACACTGGAAATTAGTTTATAGTTTTGTGTACAAAATAATGTCAGTACGATCTATTTTATTACAAGTAATCTCTTAATAATAATGAATATTACACATTATTGCGCTCCTTGATACGATTTTTATACCAATTAAAACGAAAAAAGTAACGAATGCACGAATACAAAATTATCGCAAAAAATTCAACATTTAAAACACTATAGATATTATATTACTTATGTTCATACAAATCTGCCTGATATTTTGTCATAAATAATCTCTTAATATTACATCATTGGCGCTCCTTTGTACAAACTTTGTACTAAATAACAAAAATAATGAATCAAAATGAAATAAACAAAAAATTACAAATCAAAAATCCTGTATTTAGATATATAAAACTTTAGATAATGAACTTTTTACTTTATCTTTTTGTAATTAACAATCAAAATAATTGAAATAAAGTGGAAGAAACAAATAAATAATAAACAGAAAATTAATTCTGCGCGTTTAGCGGAACTTTCGAGCATCGCTCTTTGGCGTGAGCGAGCCAAATTTTTATTGGAGCTGATAGTTCTTCCTCTGTCATGTTATAATGTTTTCTCAGCGCACCTAAAACAATGTTATGATAATCTAATATATTTTAAATCATATTCATTTTCTTACACTTCATATATTTCATAACTTACTTAGTATAACTTTGCATATCATTAAGTCTACAAATACATTTTTCTTTTTGCCTCCGACCCAACTATACTTAACGGCGAGTTCGTTTGTAAATGTTTGCCGCATTATTTTTAAAGCAAAATTTTTCATATCTCGACCTCCTATGTTTGCCAACTCCTTAATCTGTTGTAACATACTGAATGTTAAATAATCCCTTTGTTAACATAATATTTAATATAGCTTTAATTTTATCCAAAAATGATTATTCTATATTTTGTAGCGGGTTTACATTTACCAATTTTTTCCTATATTTTTCATCCTCCTTAAGCTTCACTTCTAATTCTTGTAGAGCCCTTTCATCTTTCAATGGAAGATTGTGCCAAATGTCGATAGTTTCGACTTCTTCGGGGCTTTCAGGTTGGCGAATTTTTTGTTCCGAAAAGGAATCCAATTTTTTTAGAATTTTCTCTTGCCCTTCCCTTAGAGCTTTTATTTCCAGATTCAGAGAAATTAATTTCCGAACGATGAATCGGTAATAATCCTCTATAATGTATAAAAAATATTAAATATTGATATAATATATATTAAATTGATAAACGTACAGAAAAAAATTAATTATAATTTATTGCTAATTATTTTAACAATTCTTATTAATCTCACCATTTGTTGAAGAATTGGTTGGCGCATCCCAGAATTTATGTTGAAAATTTGATCCTGCATTTTTTGATTGTACAGCACCGCCTTGCAATAGTTCTTCGAATGAATAATTAAATTAAATATATTAAATTAAAAACTATTCATCACAAACTTAAAGCTTACTCTATCTTTATGGATATTAAAAAAGATTATAAAAATAAAATAAAATTGTTTAAAAACGTAATTTATTGTTCTAAGATTTGAAATATTTTGAATTACAAAAATTCGTATCTTAAAGTTTAATAAATTAAATGCAAAATAGTTTTGAAATCACACTATGTCGAGGATAATTATGATTGGATTGAAATTGAGTTCTAATTTATTACAATCATATTTAGTGCTACGGCGTAATGAGATTTGAGAGCTTTTCCACAATTGCTGTTTATAGTTAAATGAAGCAGGATTAATTTGATTTTAAAATGCGTATTTTTGTGGTTTAAAACATCCAAAATCATGATATAATAATTCCTAAAAATTTCTTGCCTACTCCTTTAACAACTGTTATTATATTAATTATTATATTATTATTTTATTGATACACGAACCTTTCCCTGTGCCGATAACACTAGATTCCTTCAATGATTCAACAAGTTCGTCGGTTCCTGAAGTTTGATGAGAATCACTCATCTCAGAATCGGATTTTGGAGTATTTGGCACATTATTATTCTTAACTTTCTTCACTGCAAAACCAAGTAATTATCAAACACAACAATATAAACAAACAATAAATTTATATATAGATCGTTTCTTTTTACGATATACGTACTTACCTACTTCTACAAGATCGCTCATCTCAGAATCGGATTTTGGTGTATTTGGCATATTATTCTTAACTTTCTTCACTGCAATTCGAAGTAATTATCAAATACAACAATATAAACAAACAATGAATTTATATAAAAATCATTCCTTTTTACGATATACATATGTACTTACCTACTTCTACAAGTTTTCCTCCATTTTCTGTCTCGCTGTTCTTTTGGAATTTGGAAGACAACTTAGTACGCATTGGTATGTTTTCCTTACACAATTTAAAAGAAGCTACTCCATTTCCTGAAATAATCGTTCGTGAAAATATGAACAGGAGTTCTACAATATTTACTATATACGGTGTTTAAACTATCATTCCATCTTTTTTTTACTAAAGCGCAATATGACTGAAAATAAGTGAAAAAATTTTGTAATTCACATCTATCCGAAAAATTTATTATCTTTTCCTGAACAAACCAAAATTGTTTCATCAACTTTTTATAAAAAAGAATGGGGTGGATCGTCTGAAAATCTTGTAAATTATGAAAGAGATGTGATGAATTGTCTACGTAAGCGTTACAGTCTAAATTAAAAGAAATTCTGTTGATTCCCAAGAATTTCTTGAATGTACGAAATGTTTTTAGCTGTCTATATAACCGTCGTTTGATACAATATATCTTTTTTCATCGGCATAAATCTAACAACTTGTACCTTTTATTATTATTACAATTACCTTTTTTTATTTTATTAGTTTTTATTTCTTTCGTGCAACTCCTTTCTGGAAATTTAGGAAAGTGCGGAACCTTTACTACTTGCTCGTCTTCTGATTCGGTTTCTTCGTCGTTACTTTGAACATACTTAGCCCTGGTTTTCCTCGTACGTTTCAAAATTTCATCTCTATCTGAACCCGAAGGTATATCTGAGAAAATTTCAGCATCTTTCAATTTCTGCCGAGCTTTGTCGTACGATGCTGAAAGTCATTAAAATAATATATATTTTAATATATACAGATTTGATTGCTCAATCTTGCGAGCAGAGATGGGCAAAACTGTAATTGATTGCAGAGCTTAAATTGACAATTATAATTTTAATGTTTGACAATTGACGATATTAAAAATTACTATTTTTTATTTGTAATTTATCACCGACCTATTAACAATTATACTTTTAATTAAAACAAAAATAATTTTGATTACATTATTTGCTCAATTAACAAGTAATTGGTCATCAATTATTTATTAAAAATGTAATTTCTAATTGGTCGGCCGTAGATTACATGTTAAGAAAATAATTGATAATTAGTAAAGGTAAATTAATACTGACCATTCCTGCTTACGAAATATATATTTAAATTATTTTGTAAAGTATTGCAAAGTTTAGAACGTTCAGCAAATTTCATACTCTTTTAGAAATATTATGGATTTTTTCAGACTGTTCAATTAATACTGTATTTGTATTTTATTCATTAAATATGATCAAAACTTATTTATTCGCGTCATTTAACTTGAAATATTTAATAATTTATTTTTCAAAACATAAAAATTTTTTTAGAATGTTTTAAACTTCAATCAAAACAAAAATCAAGATAAAAATAGTAACTTACACGTGCTTCCTAAAATTTTCTTTAATGGGAATTCAGACCATGACTCTTGCCATTCTTCTATTTCTTTGACTGCTTTATCAAATCGTTTTTGTGAGGAGAACGATGGCCAGCGAACTTTTGTTACGTCATCATTGATCCACAAATTAGGAATTATCTGAATGCCGTCGTCAAACTCAGCAATGACGTAGGTTTGTAAAGTGGTCATTATCTCCTGTTACAAAATAATATTGAATAATTTAATTTATATGTAGTAGTGGAAATACTGCAAATTTGTTTGAAATCGGTATTTTCACGTATTTCTTGATAACACTTCTTAATGGCCACGCTTTCAAATCCGACAATTCATAGACTAAGAAGACACCAATATTTGAAGACTCACACGGTACAGAAAAGAGGTTCTCTTTTTTTAAAAACTCGTTGCCAATAATTACTAAAATTTGTCGTTTTGGACAATAAGCAATATTTTGCAACAAGACAATACTTCCATTGCTTAAACCACAACAACTATCAGCACGAGAGCCAGCGCGTAATTTCATAGTCGCTGATGTTATTACTTTGTATTGTGGATTAGTGTAGCCAACTATAAGCGGACCATCGGCGTGTGCAGATTCAATACGCGGGCAAAATTCGGCAACTATCGGTACCAGTGGTCTCAATGGTGTATTCTTTTCTGTTTCAGCACATCTTCGTATGATTTGCTGCAGCGATTGGTTTGGCTTTCTTAGCATTTTTTTAAACGTTTGCATATAGTTTTCGTAAATATATGCACTAAAATGCTGAATAAGACCATATTTCTTTACAAATGAAATGAGGTGCACAGCTTGGTGAACGTTTGCCGATACATTATGAGCTCCGTACAGTAATCCAAATGATAAAATAAAATGTTCAATGAGTTTTTGTGCATAGTCCAGTAATTCGTGATATTTTGCGTCGCTCATTATCCTCACTGCCACATGCAAAGTCAAGAAATGGTTATAGATATCTCTGCGCAATGATCGTAATACCACTGGCCCCGTGTATAAAAGAATTTGTCTAAATTCAGTGGCCTTCCACAGCTTGATAAATTTCAGTGATCTTGGTTTTCTTACAAAATCAAGTGGAATGTACAATTCGATTTCATCTTTTAATCGAGAAGATATCCGCTCTACTTCTATATGTGGAAGCCGATATTCTAAATCGCCGTTTAACAACAGGTTTAGCATTCTACGCATGATACCTAAATCTAGTAAATGCATAGGATCAGTCGGAACGTTTGTGACTGGACCAAATCCTGGAATTTCTACTAAACAACTTGTAATTCCTTGCTCATGGTATTCTTCGTCGGTTTTATTTCAAAAATCATTATCGGTTCTTGCAGGGGCATGGATTTGTGGAAAACACACTCTTCTGTTAATTGAATCACCTTCGACAGTACAAGTAGGACAGCTGGAATATCCTGTATGTCCTTTCGTGCATAATACAAATGACTTGGCAGGCATGTCACAAATTAAGGAGTCGATAGCGCATTGTATACGAATACCATTCACAAGTATTCCCTCCGAACATAACTGTTTTGCTTCAGTCACGAAATTTTGTAAAAAATCGTTGACATTCGCAGGTTTTTTATCTCCGCAATACATACCAATTACAAACACGTTTTTGTATGGCTTTACTGATCCTAATATGGGCCACAACTGTTTTGGCGATAATTTTGACAATGGCAGTCCGTCGATATTAATTGATATTTTGATTACGCCTTCCGGAACAGTTGACATACACTTTATGATAGATTCGATCCCCTTTGACAGGCCTACATGACAATATTGCCCGGGAAAAACAATTCTTGTTTCTATATTTCTCGGCGTACTTAATAATGATCGCGGATCCAAGGGCAGATTTGCATGAATAGGATATTGTTTCAATTTTCGTAACAGTGATTGTAACGCAACGTGTGATATGTTATATTGAACAGACCAATTAGAAAGAAATTCTTTCAAATTATCTTCTTGCAGAATATCGTTATCACTTTCAGACTCATCCGTTGCATCTTGTAAACTTTCATCGTGTTCTGTATTCATTTCTTGATCATTATCAACTGCTATCCTTTTCTGCTCTCGTCCTCTCTCTTGAAAATTCTGCTCTGCTTCCTCCTCCACTTCCTTTACAATTTCTTGAATATTTTGCTGCTCTTCAACCCCTTTTATCTCTTGACGATCATTTACTTCCATACCAGGTAGTTTTTTCACGCGTACTTCTAGCCTCTCATTGTTTGCTACAGTAGTTTGTGGTACATTCCGCGGCAATTCAAAAAGTGAATCCACTATTGCATTAGCTTCTTGTTTCGCAAGTCTGCGGAGGTGTCGCTTGGAAATATTCGAAACGCTTTTCCGCATTTTACCTTTAGTCGCTTTTATTGTTAATTACAATTGAATCAGAATTCTAACATGCTATTATAAAATCATAATGAATACGTATTTGTTATTTAGGACAATAAAAATGAGATTGTATTTCTCATCATTATGAGAACAGTAATCTCTGTTTTTCTAAAAACATACATTCTTTTTTACAATGTATAATTATTGAAAACAATACAAAATAACAAATACAATTCTTACGAATATAAGAATAGAAATTAATATATTAATATTTAATTTAATGAAAACAATTTTCCATTCAAAACAAACTTGTATGAATAATATAAATATTATGAAAATATGTTTATATTAAATAATCATGAAAATTAAAATAATTTTATACAAGAAAAGTAAATTTACAAAATTTTATACAAGAAAAGTAATTTATAAAATGGGTATAATCATTTAAAATTAAAATTGAAATCTTTGATATCATAAATCACATACATCACATTTTCTTTAAATTAAACTTTAATTACATTACATTGAAATATTAGATTCTGAAATTAATGTATAAATTTAATAGAATTCAATGTCAAATTATTAATAAATTTTCATTAATAGAATTTGACAAAGTTTTTATAATTTAGAAAAACTTCTGTTGAGTTATTCTATATAAATTGATTCTATAAAATGCACTTAAAAATATAATAAAAATTAAAATCTACCAGCATTTCTTAATTTTACTACAACAAATTAAAATTATTACTTTTTTTTAAGACTAATTAATGGAAGTGTAGATATATTAATAAGAGCAATGATATTCTTATCCTTGATATAAATATCAATATTCCTCTATTATTAATAAAAATCTTCGATTTTTTATTCGTTGACTGCAAATACCAACAATAAATTTCCTTTGTACACATAATACATGGGTGCAAAATTCAAGGTTATACAAATAGAGAATTTAAAAGTATATTGATCCATATCGTAAATAAAATATCAACTCTGACATAGCGATATATAATATATACATATATATATATATATATATATATATATATATATATATATAATATTCCTCTTTATCAAAATCCCTCGCCAATGCTTAATTGTCAATGCACAGATCTACGAAAAAAAACGAAAAAGTATCTTGTTGGAATTATACAATATCCAATATACATATATCATTGCAAGTCATTGCACGTAGATTCGATCAACAACAGTTACACAGATGCGCATATATATAATTTATATAACTTCAACAAGACATACTTTTTCTTTTTTTTCATGATTATTTATTTAAGCATTGACAAGGGATCCTAAAAGAAAAGGAAATAGTATACCAGAATTGTATCAAAGTTGAAATATAGTCTGAAAATTTCATTTTCAATTGTTGATCGACTGCACTTTCAAACGGGATCACAATAAAAACGTCTCTTATTTGCATAATCTCATATTTTTCACCCACGGTCCTTCGTGTGTCATACGTGTGCGAAGGAAATTTATTTAATTTATTAGCATATGTAAATGACTTGTAAAAAAAGAAGAAAAAACATCAAGAGCAAAATCATTAAACATGAAAACATTGGTGCAAAATTTGAAGACACATTTTAAAAATACAAAACAAAACGATAAAAGATAACAATGCTTTTAGAACTAAATTACAATTTTATTACCTGGAGTATATTAGATCTATCTTGATCAGCTTGAATTTAATGATTGATATATACTCCTTAATCCACACGTTTTCTTTCCACGTGATGTTCTCGCTAATTTTTGTCTTAAAAAAAGGGATCCTGAAAGAAAAGGAAATAGAGTATACCAGAACTGTATCAAAGTTGAAATATAGTCTGAAAATTTCATTTTCAATTGCTGATCGACACTTTCAAAC